TACCAACGTTTTAGAATCCCCTTCTGCACATCCCTGCAGAAGACTCTTAGAACTCTCCAGCTGCAGTATTGCCAGGCTGCAAACTGAACACTAGTCATTCTTCCATGTTATTTAGGTGGATGAACTCCAGATTCCCCATAATTCAGGCCGTGCCAATGCTCATGGGTTAAAATGGCTTGCACTTGAGTTGCAAGGTGGTGGGATCTGGGGACTCTTGCTTAAAGCAACTAACAAAGCTTGGACCAAACACTTGTATACAATACAAGTAATATTTCTCACTATTTTTAAAACAAAAATGTCCCATATAAGGAGAGCTAAACACCATTGTCACATAACAAAATTATTTCAAGAGGTAGACAACGCTGATCTATTACTATTTTTTCTTCATAAGAAACAGGGAATTCTGAAAAGCCATTGTTTCCACCATGAGGACAAAAATCAATATATTTCCACTGTGAGCAAAAATGATAAAAAAAAAAAAAAAAAAAGAAAAAGCAGCTTACTACCTCTTCTAAAGACCCCTGTGTAAGAACAGGGGGTACACAAATCCCTTACATTGTAATGAAATGCTGCATATTCATGGTTTGTCTGTAACTTGTCTTAATAAAATTGGACGTTTTATTTCACTCCATATTCATCAGCACCCACAAAAATATTCATAATTTGTGCTATTCCTAATGCAAACACGCTTCAAGATCAATGTGTTGGAGGGGAAAAAAAAAAACTTTAGCCCACCAAAAGGAAATTGTTTTATGAACTCTATTTTTCTTAGAATCGTCTCGTATTACAAGTTCCTTCCACAGACTCACTTTTGTCAATTAACACATCTTGACAATTAAGAGGGCATAAAAATATGCTTCAAAAAGGTAGAACCTACCCTATTTTAAGAAGGGAGGGGAATCCTTGAACTTGATTTTACACCTATCACAGCAGAAGCTTTAAAGAAAGGCAAGAGAACCATCTAGCACCTGCTTGTCCCCAGGGTTATATGGGGTAAATTTGGGATGTCACCATCTATCTTACATCCAAATGACAAAAGATTATTCCATTCCATGGGGAATCATGTATAAAACAACAATTAGTTCATATAGTACAGAAAAAACGCAGTTTACTTTGTACAGAATTATCTTGTTTAAAGTCCACACTAGTTACTGGCCTCATAGCCAGGCAGGTATTTGTAGATCCCTGCATGTTAAAGTAAACACAGCTGCTTTTAGGTAGTCTATTGTTTGATTAGCACTTCACTTAGTTTCTTTATCCTCCTCAATCCAGATTCTCTTCATACCCCCCTCCATTTGCCCCTATATTTTCAATTATTCTTCTGACTGACACTTTGTACATCTTCTCTGCAGAGCTTCACAGAATCACAGGGTGGTGCAGGCTGGAAGCAAGCTCTGTAGGCCACCTGGTCCAACCTTCACTCAAGCAAGGGCACCTGAGCTGGCTGCCCCGGACTACGGGGCTTGAGTGTCTCCATCCATGGAGACTCCACAACCTCTCCAGGCAATCTGTGCCACCTCTCGGTCCCCCTCACAGTAGAAAAAACTATCTTCCTTCTGCATCACTGATACTGAATGAATTCTCCTGTGGGTCTGAAAATGAAAAGACATGAGGAGAACTCTGCTTTTGCCTTCCTTTTTGGCCACGCACAATGTACAGCTGAAAGCGTGGTACCTACCAGTAGCAACCTGTTTGAGGTTTTAACTTAAAAATTGAACAACTACAAAAGAAAAAGCACACCAAACATTTTTTCATCTTTCTTGGTTTACTGTAGAGCCTACACACCTTAGGACAGGAAGCAGAATAACAAAGGTTATAAAAAAGCAAACCAAAATACATCATTTACTCGAAGATGTAAATATTTTTCTTCCCAATGTGAGATCTGTCTCTATTGGAACTTAAAACCTGTTAAGCAAAAAAAAAAAAAAAAAAAAAAAAAAAAAAGAGAAGACCAAAAAATGCCTAAATAGGCTTTCCCAACATAGTTCTATAGCTTAACATTTCCATAAGAATTTTAAGCCACAACTTATTATTTGCAATTAGAGTTCTATTGCTTTGTTTCATTACTGAAAAACTAATAAAAAGGCACCTAAATTACCCATTTGTAAGAATAACTACAAAAAAACAATGTCCATGAAAAACATATGGCACAAATAAAAGAACAGTTGTTTCCGACAGCTACTTATTACAATTTTTTTTTTTGTTTCCCCCTGAAACTTGGCTGGCTTTATCAGTTGAGCTTGCTCAAAGGACAAAAACATTTTTTTTTTTTTTTTTTGTCCTAACAAGGCTAGAGCACCTGAATCAATGTATGGGTTGAATCCTTCACTCCATCTCTTCCCTGACACTTTCTGGACATCCTATGTACTCCTTATTTCTAACACCTACTTCCACTGCTCATTTGTAGTGAATGATCCACTTTTGGAGAGTTCAATTAACGTACAAAAAAAGTTCACATTGACAAGCTCAGGTACTGCAGGAAAGCGAATGGAAATATCAGTCTGCAGATGTTGAGGTAACTGAGCAGTTTATTTTTTTTGGAGATGTCCAGTAACAATATGAGCAAAAATAATTTAAAATAAAACAAACAACAGTGAATCTGAGGAAACTAATAGCCCTGAACAAGACAACTTTTCCCTTATAATTGGCAAGTAAAGTTTAGACTTTTGCATGTTTATAGTTTTCTATTTTGTAACCATTTCTTCCTTGAACACTTATTCTAGCATTAACACAAGGACTGAACATCATGCTCTCTGCTCTCCTTTCCATGCTGCTTTGCTCTCGGAATAGCAATCAGAAGTTTTACAGGAGAGGCAGAGAAGTTGTAATTTCCTTCTTTTATTTCTCTCTCACATTCTCGAAGTTCTATCTCCATAACCTTAAGTCTTGGGGAACATAAATAGTACCTCATACATGGAGGAATGATTGATGGACTCACTGCTGCTAGTATAAAATTAAAAACCCTACAGAAGCAGCTTACCTGGGCATAGGGGTGGGGAGGAAGGCGGAGGGGAATTCAGCGGTCATACAGTTTAAGTTTAGGTAACATATGAACCCTTTATGAGTAAGGCTTGGCTTCTCCAGAAGCATACTTCTGACTCATTCCCCTTGCTCAGTAACAAATCTCAATCCCTCTATTCTCCAGAAGACATCACATGCAGTCAGAGGTGCAGACAAGGTAACTGAGCAAGATGATATTCAGAATTTCTTGTCTGAACTGCCACAATTGTAAGCCATCAGTAAGCAGGGAAGCAGAAAAGAACAGCACGTAGGAAGATTTTTCCCACACTCCCAAATCTCAGCTGCTTCCAAAGCAGGCTTTCCATTCCCTTGCCCCCTGCCAAAGTAGGCACTTTTGTCTAACAGTAGCCAACCTGCACTTTCCCATCAAGGACAATTTTCCAAGACAAATTAGACTGCAAGATGTTGTAGCAGCTGGTCAGCTCCACTGAGCCTACAATTATTTTTGAACTATTACAGCCAAACACAAGGTCAAGTTTTTAATTCAGATAACCCTGATTAACATCACTGTAACGTTCCTTAAGTAAGGAAAGTTTACATCATCCAACCCAACCCTTAGCATTTCCGTGTTCCATCAAGTGCTGGAGAGCATTGTAGCAGACAAAATTCTCCCAATAGCAAATTTCTCATTGTCAAAGTACGTTTAGTTTCCTTGGAAGTACTTCTGTTTAGCTGAACAATCCCTTGCCCAGTTAAACGTTTTTCATCTTAGCACATGATTATATAAAACAGATTAAGAGTCAATATGATACTAACATTTTTCATGTTGACTGGACAGTAAACATTTTTTCTTAAAGTTTTGTATTAAAAACTGACTACTACAGTTGAGTTACTGTAAATATGAGTTTTTATTAAAACTAATACAACAGAAGCCTTTTGCTCTTACGGAGTTAAACCAAGCTCTTGTAAGCAGTTATCAAACTGGCGAAGAGGCCCTCAAATTTTATCTATAATACTAAAAGTTTGCAAGTTTTACATACAGAGTTGCCCTTATGGGTCACTGCACTCCTTGCAGTGAATTTATTTTAGAAGTAAGTTCTTTATTCCAGCCTAGAACCTTTTAGCAGCTCTTTCCACAACTAATAGGCCAGCATAACCACGCAGGCATTTCATAATACACGTCAGAAGTTCATCATCAAGCACTGAGGTGGTTACAAGTGGGTTTGTTTGTTTTTAAATTAAAATAAGTCACATGATCAACGCTGCGTGTAAGCATACCTTACTCCATTCAAATCTCTCTGCAATATTCAGACTTTTGAGGGAATAGCTTTATGAGCTAGTACAGAGTATAATGAAGTTACATACAAATGCATGTCATGACCCAGGATTTCGTAGTTCACATACTGCCACCTTCCTCATCCTACATCCCCTATGCAGAAATGAGTATTGCCTGGTTGAAAAAAGTTTTTGTGTTGCTGGCTTTTGTTTATATATTATATTGTGTATATATATATATACACACACACATATATATTGTATATATATATACAAACACACGTATGTAATCATTATTTCATATATGATATGAAATATATACTTATAATAATATATATTTATGTTATATATCATTATATTTCATATTTTTATATATAGTATGAAATATAATGATATACAATTTATATATAAAATAAACATATCAAAGCTCTAGTAGTCAAGTATCACGTTCCCTCCCAAAGCCTGAAAGGTTTTAATAAGATGGAGAAAAGGGTCACTGAAAAATAGTTTATCAAATACAAGTAGTTCTACTTCAGTTGAGTGGGTTTTACTAGTTTCATCAATGTTTAGAAGTGTCAACTATTTTGAAATTTGAAATTCATTGATAAGGTATTTTCTCACAGTTAGGGGTTTCAAGTTTATTACCAAAGAAAAGCCTTATAGAAGTATTAAATATAGAAGCATAGAAGTGTTAAAGATGATCTGTTATTCTTGAAACAGTAAAAAAGAAAAAAAAAATCCCACCACTTTGTCAGACCACTCACCTGCAACACTGGTAATGGTAACTGGAACTCCTTGAACTTGAACACCGGCAGCACCCAGGTTGGCAACACTTACTGTTTGGAGATTAGGTACTGAAGCAAGCTGGGCAGCATTCAGTGTGATTGGGGTACCAGCAACAGCCACTGGTGCAATCTGAGCAATGGTTGTGCCACTGCTTGAAGACACGGGGGTAATGGTTAGTTGTTGGGGCAACCCAGCATTTTGAACTTGAAGGTTTGAAAGGCTTTGCAGATTCTGAACCTGTACAGTTTGCCAACTGATCTGCCCCGATGGTGTTAAAGTTGGAGCCCGGATGAGCACCTGAGTCGGACTTACTGCCTGCAGCTGAACATTCTGCAGAGGCTGCTGCTGGATGGTCTGTATAGTTTGGCCTGACTGGAGCTGAAATGACTGGGGAGGAATGGCCTGAATAATCTGCTGTTGAGGCTGCTGGATCTGGATCTGCTGTAGAATAGGCTGACCTACAATCTGGACCTGCTGAAGAGAACCTGACTGATCCTGTACGTTCTGTAGTCCATTGGACTGAAGCTGACCAGAGCTCTGGCCTTCAGAGTCCGTCGCGGTGGTTTGAGGTTCTTCAGTTGTCTGCTCCGAACTGCTGCCTGCTGTGCTCGTGTACTGGCCTGCTTCTGCAGAGCTCACTAACGTGTCACTGCTAGTTAGAGATGTTGAGGCAGTGGTTGTAGAAGTGGACGATGAGGAAGGAGAATCTGGCATTGAACTAACAGAGGCAGTAGTGACAGGAGTAGACGCTAGCTGACTTCCATTGGAAGCTCCACTTTCCGAAGACTGTCCAACTTGACCTGAGCCTCCTCCTGCTGCCACATTGTTTATCACAGGTAATGCTAAGGTTACTCCACCAATGTTTATAGGTAAAGTTGTTACAACTTGTGCCTGAGTACCAGGAATAGTTTGCAGTTGCAGCGGTATAGAAACACCAGGCCTGATTTGGACCGGGACCGTCTGATTTGCCAAGTTTTGAGCAATAACATTCCCCGAAGCTGTCCTGTTTGAAGCTGTGAGAATAGCTTGATTATTGCCCGCAGGAATAAGCTGAATTTGACCCTGTATATCTTGTATACCAGTAGCACTAGAGGGATTAATTTGAATTTGTTGACCTTCTGTTGTCTGAATCTGTGGAATCACTTGGTATTGGACACTACCACCTGGATTTTGTACTTGAATGACTTGAAATTGCCCAGGGGTCGTTGCAGAAGAATTGCCCGATTTGGTTTTTGAAGGAGATGCACTTCCATTGTTACTACTGGAGGGACTTGCTGCGCTTGAGGCAACAGAAGATCCTTGTTGAGCAACATTATTTTCTTTTGAAGCAGGAGGAGCAGCAGCAACAAGCTGCCAAGAGTTCCCAGCAAGCTGAGTTGTTACTAATTCTAACTGTTGCGGCTGATTTTGAAGCTGCACCAAACCTTGATTTGGATCTATAATGATCTGCTGCTGTCCAGTTGCTTGATTCTCACCAGGAGTTCCTATTTTGCTGCAAGTGGCTGCTAGCAAAGCAAGAGGTGAAGGCTGGGAATCCTATCCATAGGGAGAGAAAAGAGAACAGATTCAGAAGAGTACGAGTATTAATCACTAGAAGTAAGCGTTAAGATTTGCACAGGAAACAGACTTAAGTATGCTTCTGCGTATAAAGACCAATGATACAGCTCTGAATAAGGAAGTACATGTTTCTTTAAATAATCTGTAAGTATAGGCCAGCAGTTATCAATGAGTATGTGACAACCAGGACCTCAACCACTTCCTCACTCCAGTCTTTTTTTTCCTATACTAAGGACAAATTAAAAAAAAAAAAAAGACCTCGGTTACATGGGAAGTATCTGATCGCTGTAAAACACGATCAAAAACATGTCCAGGCAGTAAAAACATTGCACCCAAAGAACTACGTTTCATCCAGCCCAAAGAAAGATGCCCTGAGCAGGAAACACTGTTAGCTGAACATTTCATTTTAAATGCTAATAGTTTGGGCACTTCCCTACTCGTGTGTGTGTGTGCGTGCTTTACCTGCGAGCCTCCAGTTTTCCCTTTTTTATTATTATTGTTGTTATTCTCTGCCTCGGGAGATTTCTCTCCCTCTGTGGGCATAGTTTCCTCCTTCTTTTGATCTGCAGAAAAAGAAAATATCAAGCGTAACAGGTTAATTATTCACCTCCATTCCTACAACAACAAACCCCACGAGCACATCCCTTTTCGCTTCCCAGCCTCTGGCCCGCACCTCCCCAGGAAAACAACGGCGCAAGCCATCGTTACAAAAGAGCGAGTCCTGAGAAACGTGGTTTGAAACCCAACCCATGGGGGCTGGAGAGTTAACACCCAGAAAGGGGAGGTTTGGTTTCCTTCTCCCGGAGACAGCGGGAGAAAACCACCCACAACCCTCCTCCTCCTCCTGCCCCCTGAAGCATCGACGGCCACTGAGTGGCCGTCGATGCTTCAGGGGGCAGGAGGAGGGCTGTGCATGGGAGGGAAAGAGGGAGGAAAGGAGGAATGAAGGAGGGAGGGATGCGCACGGGAGGGAGGGCTGCCGAAGAAAGGGGGCACGCAGGAGGACGAGAAGAAAGGGGGCGCGGGGGGCGACGCCGGGGGAGCGAGGCCGGGGTAAGAGGGGTTGGGGGGGGGGGGGAGGAAGGGGGGGCACGGAATAAAAAAAGGGGGGGCCCGCGGGAGGGCGGGCTGGGGGGGGCCGAAGGGCGGAGGGAGGAGCGGAGGGAGGGCGGGAGGGAGGGGGTTACATACCGCTCATCCCGCATTAATGCCCCGCCGAGGCGCCGCTCTAGGGGGGAGGAGAAGGAGGAGGAGGAGGAGGTGGAGGAGGAGGAGGAGGAGGAGGAGGAGGAGGCGGCGGAGGGCGGGGTGGGGGTAGCGGGGAGAAGGCCGGTGGCAGCCGGAGCGGGGAGGAGCGGCCCGGCCTATTTTTCCACGAATGGCCGCCGCCGGGGCTGTGGCGTAGCCGCCCGCCTCTCCGCCGCCGGCCTCGGCCCGCCGCCGTGAGTGACAGCCGCGGGCCGGGCGGCCGGGGGAGGAGGGAGGAGGGAGGGAGGAGGGAGGAGGGAGCGCGGCGCCGGGGGCGGGGCCCTCCGCGGCCCAACCGCCGCCCCCCGGCCCGGCTCCTCCCCCTGCCCTGCCGCCAGCCGCGGCCCGGCTCCCGCGCTCGGCACACGGCGCTGCTGACAGCCGGGCTCGGGGCGCTGATTGACGTCCCCCAAGGGGGGCGGGGCCTCGGCGCGGCGCCGGCCAATCGGGTGGCGGCTGCCCGCCTAACTGACAGCGCGCGGGAAGTGAGGGGAGCGCAGCCCTCCCCCGCCTCGGGCCCCCTCCCCTCCCGTCCCGTCCCGTCCCGTCCCGGGCCGGGCCCTCGCGGCCTCCCCGCGGTGCCGGGGGGCTCCTTGACACCTGCCCCGGGATATTCCCCGCAGGCGCCCCGCCCGCTCATTGGCTGGGCAGCCGCGCGCGGGGCACGCCGGGAAGTGTAGTTCGCGGCGGCGGCGCATGCGCAGGGCGGGGGGCGGCCGGGCTGAGGCGACGGCCTAGGAGGGGGCGAGGAGGGGGTGGTGGTGGGGTGCTGCGGAAAGCCTGCGGCGAGGCAGGGCTGGGTTAAAGGCAGAGAAACGAGGGTTGTGCCTCTGGTTTCCCCCACAGGGTCTCCGCCGGCCCTCGTGCTGCCCGCTGGCCGCCATGCCGTGGTGCTGAGCGCTGGTTGAGGCAGGGCTGGCCGTGGCGTCGTGGGAGAAGCGGAGGGTTTGTGGGACCTCAAACCTGCCTGCACCGGTTTGATTTCGGAGAACGGCGGTACCGCACACGTGTGTGGGTGGCAAAGCTTTGGATCTTCGATTCAAGCCTCTGGAATGAGGGAGATGTGGAAACACCAAGCCTCCAAGCCTTTCCGTTGAAGACAAATAAAACAATATGAAATATAAAGGACCTGGGTCGTCAATAGGTGTTGTATGTGCACTGAGCGTGCAGGTCGCATGGTGATGCATCGGGAAATGGCCTTATAAACGCCAGCTTATCTGTGTTCAGATGAGCAAGTGGCATTATCTCACAGCCAACAGCTCAGCCCAAGCTCGGTGCCTTCTCCTAGACAGTGTCAGGGAGCAGGAAGAGTGGGGCTGCCCCGGGAGGGAGCTGAGGGCCAAGGTGATGACCCCAACTCTTGTGGGGTGGTGACCCCATTTGGGTGCAGTCCCCCATGTCTGAGCAGAGCCAGGGTGGTGACAGGATCTGCTGATGGTCCAGTGGTCATCACACAGCACAAGCTGGCAGAATCAGGTAGCAACCAGAGAGATGAAGCAGGGCCTTCTGTGCCATAGACATAGGCTGAGGTCACTGGCAGTGTGCATCTGGCTCCTCTGGGCTCCTCAAGCTGGTGAGGGGGACAGCAGGGACAGGGCTGGGCACAGCAGTGTAGTTCCAGCAGGCTCAGGGTCATAGGGCTATAGGGCTGAGCTCCTGGCCCATCCCATGGAAGATGGTCATGGCATCACAGCCTGCCACACACGCAGGACCCTGAGGACCCCAAATCCCAAGCACCTCATGAAACATGAGAAGCTGCACAAAGATTGGACAAATATATTAGCAAGGCTAATTTTTTTAATAGAGACTGGTGTCTTAAGTCCTACTGAAGCTTTTAAACTTTCACTGGATTCCTGTTTTCATGCGTAGGTACAGTCCTTTTGAAAATCTGGCCCTAAGGTGCAAAGAGTGCAAGCTGTCTCAACTATGTGTTAGTTTTATTATGTGTTATTATAGAAATAACAGATAAAGGATATTGGTGGTGTAGGTGGTTTCAGTAGGGGCATCGTGGTTTTTATATATCTTTGCCATCCACAGTTCCACTACTCTTCCTATACCACCTACTCTTTCCCAAATATCAAATGTCACTCCTGTTGAAGTTCTTTCTGCCAACTTAAGTGTTCTGAGCATGCCACTTTCAGCATTGTTCCCACATGAACCACTGCTTACCCTGCACACCTTCATACTGGTTAGTCTCTGCAGGCTCTAAAAGAAGTCAGCAGAAGTCACCTGTTGGTTTTAACATGAGAAGATGAGATCCAATGATGTACATGTATATCCATTGCCACTGGCATCCCATATGCTGTTGGGTGAAATAAATAGGTGAAATAAAACTATCAGAAATAGGGAAAAATTAATCAAAAAGTGTTCATCACAACCTTCTTTAAGGGTTAAAACTTTAAAAGTATGTTGACACCCAGAAACAGAGCACAGCTTGGAAACACATGGATCAGCAGAGACCCACCGAAGGGTGAGGTTTCTGGCAAGACTTAGCTCAGACTTAATATCAGATGAGGATGGTAGTTTGCATTAGAGCCCAAATTAATAAAATTCATTTAATGCTTGGCATCTTTTAGTGTTTTGTTTAATCTGTAAAGGTTTATTTATCTCATTGCTTTTAATATTTTTAATTATGCATTATCTGTGATCATATGTGCTGCTTTCTGTCTCTTCTATTTATCAATTTTCAGTTTTGTTTCAGTTTTTCTAATCTTTTGATGACTTAGTACCCTGATTCCATTTTCTTTACTTTCTCCAACTTTTTCCTCTGTATATTTACTTCCCTGAATCTTGCATTTCCCATTTTCTTCTCCTTCCTTTCCTTTTACATTTCTTTTTATTTTTCCTTTTGCATTTTTTTTAAATCCCAAATTATATCTTCTTTTATGTCACTTTTGGCTTGCTCTCTCAGCTATACCTTAGTGTCCATTGATTTTTTACCTAGCACCCTGACTTAGATTTTTAAATGTATTTAGGCATTTCTGTACTGAGCACAGCAAGGCTTGTAATGCTGAACAGAGTAACACCTAAATATCTTTACAAAGAAAAAAAAAAAAAAAAAAGGGGGGCGTGAAGGGGGAGGGAGAGACAGCTGGCTGCATGCTCCAGTTTCATTGGTTAACCTCTCTACTATCTGCCAGCACTTACATAGGTTGCATTTGGACGGACAGTGGCTGTAAACAGTGGAGAGAGTAATGAGACGATGGCTTCACAAAACTGTAAATCAGGTGGTAGTGCAGCTGGTGTTAGATTAATAATGCTGTATCCCTTAGACATAAGATGCTGGACTAGTATAAAACTACTTTATTTGATTAAAGGTGGGTTTTGGTGGCGAGAAGAGGGAATAATTTTAATCTGGCAGGATTGTGCAAGATCAGGTGTCAGATATCTGCATTTCTAATGAACCTTCTTCGGACAGCCCAAAGGCTCTTTTGCCAGTTCCTTCTTGCTCCCTTTCTCCTCTTGATACTGTTTTGTTATAGAAGCCAAATATTTTCAGGAAATTACTTTTGTTGTGTATGTGCAGGTTCGGGTGCGTATTTTTCCTCTTTTATTTAGGCCTTTCCTGGAATCCAGTGTTTTGTTGTAAGCTGTCTTGGCTCCAACAACAGCAGCTTCGAAGAATTCAGTGACGACATAGTGTTACTGATCAGACAGATCCTGGACCAGAGCCACAGTGGAAATCATGTGCTTGGCAAGCATACTCCCTAGGCTTTGCTCCACGTGATCCCAAGTGGACCAACTCAGAGGTATTTGACCTGCTTGGAGTCTGTGGAAAACTTCTATCAAAAACACCGTGGGAAGTCAAGGAATGAATTCTTCTGTTGTGTCACGTCTTTGCAAATGGATCTCAAGTAGCGCAGCATTGGGTTAAGAATCCTACCTCCATGAAACCCAATGGTAAAAATGAATGTTCCAGTTCTGACTGCCAAGGCCCTAACTTGTCCAAGCTTGAAACATGAAGTGCTCCTTCCCTTCTACCGCATCTGTACCCATTGCACCTGATTCTTACCTGATGTTTGCCTAGGATATTCTCATGTCATAATGATGTGGTGGTAATAAGAAAATAATTCAGTCTGAGAATGAAAATCAATCCTTTATTTATTCTAAACAGAAATTATGCAGTAATGTCAACTGAGACAGGGTCCATGCACTCCCCATCCCCCTTACGTATCGACCCTGGCCATTAAGTGACATTGTGTCACACGTTGTACAAGTGAATTTTAGCTTCAGATATGGAAATCACCTGATGTTACTCAAGACATCGGACTTCATTCCTTGTCATAGCAACAGGTCACAGCTGCTATCCAGCAAATCCAAGGACACAATGTGCACATTGGTTTCAGGACAGCCATTGATGGGTTTCCCCTGGTTTAGTCAAAGATGTGCTTCTTCACCACCCAGAAACACATCATCCAGCACAAAAGTGATGTGCATACTTCAAGAGGGTAATCACTTTCTGCTGTGCATTTTTCTACGCTGAGCTATTGCAAGTTTGAAAACTGAAACAAAGTCTTACCCAAAGTCTATTTGATCTCGGTGAGCTATGGGCCCTACTTATCATTATTACTGAGAGTCCTTGGCTTGTCATTTCCTGTCCCTAACTTCTGACAGATCTACATCTCTGCAGACATCTTTTTTCTTCCAAACCAGAGAGCCCCTGTTGCTATGTATGTGACCTACCATCATCAGTGCTAAATTACATAGAAAGGAGAATCCCTGGGGTGAATATCCTCAAAATTTTGAGACAGTTGCTTGTCCAGCTAGGGAGAATTTTTACTGTTAAATAAAATAAATAAATCAATAAATAAATAATGGGGAGGCAGTGGTTAGAAAGAAGTCTGAGAGAAGGCCATGACTTTTCTTTGAGCTGGACAAGCACACATTTGGCTACCATTTGACAGCAGCTAATAGAAAAGGCCTCAGTGAGTGAGCTGAAGAGCTGGGACGTTGGGGTGCAGACAGTCACCAGTGACTCTTGGTGGTCCATTGATCTCAGTGTGCTGGGAACTTGGGGAATGGCAGCCTGCTTCAGTTGGTATGGCCAGGAAGGAGAGAGCTGTGGGACACCCAGGCATCACACACCTTGCTAAACCACCCAACATTGGCTTTGTCTCCCACAGTTATCTAAAACAGTTTGCACCACTGTTACTCTTTCCTTTTGATCCAGAGCACGGAGAGCTGAATATACAAAGAGTATATTTTTTTCCCTTCAGTGACCTTGAATACTTGAGAAAGCTGTTGAGAAAGTGTCCAAGAGAAGTCTGCTGTCACTTATCAAAGCGATTGTTTTCATTTCCAAAATAATCCTGCTTGCTGTTGATTTTCCAATCTCAACATGCTGCCAGAGCACTAGTGTTGTGGAAGTATGCCCTGGGTTGCCACATGACTAAGTCATCCTCCTCTACGTGTTCAACAAGACACTTATACTAGTCATTACCTCACCAAATAAGGGTTGAAGTTGTCACAAATTACCATTAATGTTTTACTTCCCATTCTAAAAATCTCATTTCTGTGCTGAACCGCCACACCTGGTTTAGTGGGGACTGTTAGTGTTAGGTTAGAGGTTGGACTCGATGATCTTGAGGTCTCTTCCAACCTAGAAATTCTGTGATTCTGTGATTCTGTGATTCTGTGACCTATGTTTGCTGAACTCTCCTCACAGAGCCAGACACGACACTCAGAGGGATCTTGTCTTTGTCATCAGTGACAATATCTGACTCTACAGAGGGTTGTACCTGATGTAACTCTGACTTTGCTGTCTAGTTTTTTTGTGGTGTGTTGTGTGCAGGAAACAACGCTTCTGGCTCAGGAAGTCAGTGTGCATCTGAATTGCCACTGAAGCACCACTGCCGTGCCCAGACACATGCTTCCTGCTCAGTTGCTTGCAAAGACTACAAAAATGCAGAGGCTGTGGTGACGGGTGTGGTGACAGTTCTGTAGTGTTTTATATGAACTTTTTAAAGCTGTTAAGTACTTCAAAGACCATAGGATGCTACTTCTCCTGTATTCCCTGCAGTGAAACAGGGCTGGCAGCTTACAAGGTACTGGAGGATGAGAAACTGGGATGCAGTTCAATCTAGGATAGTAGTTAATATGCCTATAATACACATAAGAGTAAAGAAGAT